ACACCAAAACCACAAGCAATAAAAGCAAAAAGGGAAATAAGTGGGGCTACTTCAAGCTAAAAGTCTTCTTTACAGCAAAAGAAACAGTCAACAGAATGAAAAGGCAGCCTGAGGGATGGGGAAAAATATTTGTCAATCATCTGTCAGATAAGGAGTTAATATCCAAAGTATTTAAGGAACTCATACAATTCAATAGCACGTCGCACACACCTGCATGCATGCACGCGCGCGCGCGCACACACACACACACACACACACACACACACACACAACAACAGTAACAAAATCCCCCAAACAACCCAAATGAAAAATCAGCAGAGGAACTAAACAGGCATTTGTTTCAAAGACATACACATAATGGCCAACAGGGGTGTGCCTGGGTGGCTCAGTTGGTTGAGTGTCTGCCTTCAGTTCAGGTCATGATCCCAGGGTCCTAGAATAGAGCCCTGAATCGGGCTCCCTGCTCAGAAGGGAGCCTGCTTCTCCCTCTCCCTTTGCCACTCCTCCTGCTTTTGCTCTCCTGTTCTCTGTTTCTCTCTCAAATAAATAAAATCTTAAAAAAAAAAAAATGGCCAACAGGTACATGAAGAGATGTTCAATATCACTATTCATCAGAGAAATGCAAATCAAAACTGCAGTGAGCTATTACCTCACACCTGTCAGAAAGGCTATTATCCTCAAGAGAATAAGAGATGAGTGTTGGTGAGGATGTGGAGAAAAGGGAACCCTTGTGCACTGCTGGTGGGGATGCAAACTGGTACAGCTAGTGTGGAAACAGTTTGGAGTTTCCTCAAAAAATGAAAACGGAGCTACCATATGATTCAGCAATCCCACTTCTGGATATACATTCCAAAGGAATGAAATGAGGATCTCCAAGAAGTATATGCACTCCCATGTTAATTGCAACATTATGCACAATAGCTAAGCAAGCTATGGAAACTCTCGAAGTGTCCATCCATGGATGAATAAAGAAAATGTGGTATCTGTATACACACGCACACATGCACACACACACACACACACACACACACACACACACACAGTGGAATATTATTCAGCTATGAGAAAGAAGGAAATTCTGCCATTTGCAACAACATGGGTGGACCTTGAGGACAATATGCTAAGTAAAATAAGAGAGAAAGATGCTGCCTGTATGATATCACTTATATGTGGAATCTTAAAAAAGTCAAATCATAAAAACAGAAGGTAGAAACATGGTTGTCAGAGAATGGAGGAAATGGAGAAATGTTTTCCAGGGTACACTTCCATTGTGAGTTCTGGGCTTCATATGTGCAACATGGAAATTAGAGTTAACAATACTGTATTACACTTGAAAGAAAGCTGCCTTCAAGTATACTTGGAAGTTAAATGATCTCACCACAAAAAAATGGTAATTATGTGAGGTGATGGAGATGTTAACTCTACTATGGTAATCATCTCACAATATATGTGTATCAGATCAACCCATTGTACACTTTACATGTATACAATATTATATGTCAATGATATCTCATAAAGCTGGAAAAAAAGAAAAAGCATCCAGATTACAGAGGGAGAAGTAAAATCTCGGTTCACAGATGACATGATATTATTCCTAGGAAATCCTAAAAAATATTAGAATTTTGGAAAAACTATTAACACTAATAAATTTAACCAGTTGCAGGATAGAAGATCACCACATAAAAATCAGCTGCATTTCTATACTATTAGCAATGAACAATCTGAAAATGTAATTAGGAAAGCAATTCCATTTACAATAGCATCAAAAAGAATAGAATAGTCATGAGTAAATTTAACCAAGAAGGTACAAGGCTTATAAAGTGAAAACTGCAAAACATTGTTGAAATAGTTGAAGAAGACTTAAACGAAGGGAAAGACCTTCTATGTTCATGGATTAGAAGATTTAACATTGTTAAGATGACAATATCCCCCAACTTGTTTTATAGATTCATTGTAATACCTATTAAAATTACAGTCTCCTCTTTTGCAGCAATGAACAAGCTGATGTGAAAATTCACATATGGAATTGCAGAGGATCCCAAACAGCCAAAACAGTCTTGAAAAAGATCACGGGTAGAGGACTCACACTGCCTGATTTCAGAATTTATGGCATACTACAGTAATTAAGAGGGTGGTACTGAAATAAGGGTAGATATATCAATCAGTAGAACAGAATTGGGAGTCCAGAAATAAACCCACATGTCAGCTGATTTTCAGTAAGGGTACCAAGACTGTTCTATGGGGGGAAGAATAGTCTTCATTTAGGTGCTGGGACCACAACTGGATAGCCACATGCTAAATAAGGAATGAAGTTGGACCCCACCCTCACACCAAGTACAAGAGAGAAGTCAGATTGCATCAGATACCTAAATGTAAGGGTGGAAACTATGAAACTCTCAGAAGGAAATGCTTGAAGAGTTTAGCTGTACAATTACTGCTCTCTTACAGCACTTCTGTGACATATATGGTGGACTTCACTGACTGGCTGCTCCCGTGGATCAAGATTATCTCTCACCAGTCTGTCTCTCTTGCTTTGCACAGAGCTGTTGCTCCGTAAAGTCGGCTGACCAGGCGAATGGGAGAGACAATGGCAGTGTCAGCCGTACCGAGGTTTACCAAATAGATTTTAAATTGTCAGAAACTATGTTGGGTGTCCTTGTTGTGTGCTCAACTCTGCAACTACAGGTTTCCTCTCTGGGCCTTTTCTTTCACCAGAATGGAGTTTAGGGGGCATGTGAAGAGGTTCTCCCCAGATAGGTGGCTGTGATTTGTACATCTGATAATTTGGGCATGTAGCCAAGAGTCTTCAAATTCGACTGCTACTGCTGAAAATATGGATACATAGCCTGTTTTAAAAATTATATTAACCTAATTTTTATTTATTTATTTTAAAGATTTTATTTATTTGTCAGAGAAAGAGGTTAAGAGAGAGAGAGAGAGCACAAGCAGGGGTAGCAGCAGGTGGAAGGAGAAGCAGGCTCCCCGCTGGACAGGGAGCCTGATGTGGGGCTCGATCCTAGGACCCTGGGATCATGACTTGAGCCGAAGGCAGATGCTTAACCAACTGAGCCACCCAGGCGCCCCTAAGCTAATTTTTAATTATGGAATATTTGGACCTTAAAGTATGGGTCCAGCCTCAGTTTGAACACCTGTAATGATACGGAGCTCAGTATCTCCCAAGGCAGCTATCGGTGAACCGTTCTAATAAAAGTTACAATGTTTTTTCTTATGTTGGTCAGAAAATCCTTTTTCTCTAAATGTCTACTGTTACTCCAATGGAATGATGCCAAACAAGTCACATATTTGAAATAGTAATGCTTTCTCTTTCAGCCCTATGTCGATTCCACCTGACCCAAAGTCTATGTCGTTCACTCCAGCATTGTAATCTGTCATGCACTTAACTTCCAGGCAGCTTACACCGCTGACGGTTTCTGTGAGTGGTGGGAATGCAAAAGAATTTCAATACTGTTCTAGGTAAAATATTAACCAAGCTGATTTTTAAGCGGCTGCCTTTGTAGGGTGATGTTGAAGTTCCCTACCTGTTCCAAAACACATTTCCCACTAGACAGTACGATGCTCACATTATTCGCTTAGGTTCAGTGTTGAATTTTCTTGACAAAGTTTAATATGCAGGTTGGCCACCATATTTTCTTATTGATAACGTGGCCTAGATGAGTATAGCAGATGGAACCATATAGCAAGGTGATGAGACAGAGGATGAGAGGGTTTTGAAGGGGAGGAACAGCGCAGAAATGCTAGAATAGAAGCCACTGAGGGCAGGTAGGACAGGCCTTTGCTAGAGATGTGGGGAGAGGAGAGACATCTGGAAATGTACCTTGAATGATAAAATCATTCAAGGAAATAATTTCTGCTTGGGATCATCCGCATCCACCTTGACTTCTGGCAAATTCTTATTGATCCTTCAAAATACATGTGCCACAGGGAGGCTTTTCCAGCCCTGCTCTCACTCCATCCCAGGTACTTCATGACTCTTTCATGCCATTCTGTCTCCTAGACATACTTTTATTGTTGTGCCATTTCACTGTGTTATACTGAATTATTTATTTGTCTGCCCCACTGGACTCTGATTCCGTGAAGACCTTAAACTATGTCATTTTTCTTAGTATTCCCAGCGCCCACATGGTGCTTCTCAGTGACTGGCGTATAGGAAGTGTATGATAAATGCTTGTTGCATAGAGTTGCAGCACAGGTAGAGTAACAGCTGGACACATTGGTGGTAAAAGCATTATTCTCACCGACCATATATGAGGCACAAATTGGAGGGTAGGAAAAAAAGGTGAATAATAAGATAATCCCGACTTAAAAAAAATAATTCCTACAGTCCCCCCTTCTCAGCGGAGTAGGTAACAGTCATCTGCCTATAATTCTTACACAGTAAGATTAATGTTATCATACGGGTACTGTGGGGTTGGATTGGGTTATAATGTTGCATGACTAAGACCAAAAAACCATGTGTCCTTGAAATCCCTTAAATCACCAGGATTTAGGCCTTCGGAAGCTCCAAGGTAATGAGTTAAGGAAGAGACTGCATTTAATTTTGACTCCTTTCTTAAAAGTTTAGTGCACTGCTATTTATTTTGTAAGTACTTAAATATTTGTTTCGTGGCTAACAGATTGCTTGAGGAGATGTTTGGGCCTAAAAAAATTTGTTGTTTGTATTGGTGGTTTTAACACTGGATCCACCCTATTAAAGAAGGCAGAGTATCCCTATATCTCTCTAAGCAGGAGCAGAACAGCCTGGAACACCTTTTATCATTTAAGCGGGGTCTAGTTTGGAAACAAAGGCTTAAATCCAAAGTACTTTTGACAGGATTTGTTCTTAGAGCATGTTTGTTAGTAAACTAATTGATTTCTGGTTGTAGCTTCCCAAGGGAATGTCTTTCTTGGCACTTGGCTTTGAAAGCACAGAAGAGATTGTCATTCTTTTTCCTTAGTTAGCATATGGGCTCCTTTTGACTATCGTGTGTTTATTTATTTAGGAACTTAAATTCCAAGGTGGAAAGGAGTCAGAGCTGCAGTGACACTGCTCAAGACAGAGCAAAGAGCCGACTCCGAGCAGCCCCAACCAGCAAAACCAAGGTACACCGCAGACACGGGCTTCTGGAGTTCTCTGCTCCCATCCGGTGGCTTCCTGCACGTGGCCACGGAAGACACTATTCCAGATGAGCAGAGGCACAGTGGGTCCCAGGCATATTGATTATGTTGAAGAAGTTTGCAAGTAAATGTGAAGGATGAGAGTTTGAATTAGTAGCCAGATGGGTGGAATTGAAGGCTAGTAGAAGAATTTTTTGAAAGTTCTAGTTGAGTTTTTTTCCCCTATAGGTTTTCTTTTCTTTTCCTTTTCCTTTCCTTTCCTTCCCTTTCCCTTTTTTTTTTCTTTCTTTTAAACTTAAATTCAATGAATTAACATGTAGTGTATTACTAGTTTCAGAAGTAGAGTTCAGTGATTCATCAGTCTTATTCCCTGTAGGTTTTCAATTTTATTAATTGTTTCAGGTGTGTAGGAATTTCTGCAAATGGTGTGTGTTCTGGTTAGGGATTTTCCCCCTTTCTTACGCTCCTGTCGCCCTTGATCCCTTTTCTTAGCCTTCCCCTGCTATCCTCCTCCTACCATCATGAAGGAACTGTGAAGAGAAACAATATGTCTATATGCATGTCTATAGAATCTTTTTAACCTCTTTTAGGTCACAGCTATGGCCCCAGGCTCCAACCCCATCATTGGCGTCCTCCTGTCCACTCAGAACAACCGCTGCCTCTCGGCCCCGGACTTAACTGTGGAAAAACGTCTCCCCTTCAGTTCCCTCTCATCCTTGGCTTCTCTGCATAAGCCAGAGCGCTCCATCAGTCCTGAGAGCAACGACAGCATCTCTGAGGAGCTAAACCATTTCAAGCCCATTGTCTGCTCACCCTGTACTCCTCCCAAGAGACTCCCCGATGGCCGGGTGCTCAGTCCCCTCATCATCAAATCAACACCCCGCAACCTCAACAGAAGCCTGCAGAAGCAGACTTCTTATGAGGCTAGCCCAAGGATCCTCAAAAAGTGGGAACAGATCTTTCAGGAGCGGCAGATCAAAAAGACCCTTTCGAAAGCCACCCTCACGTCCCTGGCTCCAGAAACAGGGGAAGACGTAGTAGTGTCCGAAGTTACCCATTCGAGCAAGGAAAAGCCACCTCTGGCTTTCCAGACGAGACTGGCGGGTGGGCAGGCCGTCTCTGCGTGTGCCGGAACCACCCCCACTGGCCTCGATTCTTTCCCCTCCGTGAGCCAAACAAAAGTGGAAGCCGGCACTGAGAGTAAAAGGAGCCCCGATGTTGCATCAGAAACCCGCTGCTCTTCACAACCGCCTGTGGGCGCCAGTGGGACTTCCTCAGAGAGAGAGCGGGAGGAAGGGCCGGGGCCCACCCCAGAGGCCAAGTTAGACAGCACCTGTCAGAGCACAACCGTGAAAAACCCGGTGGTTCATTCCGCGCTACCCAAAAATAGCGTTCTGGGGGCGGTCCTCAAAACAAAGAAGCAGCTGAAGACCGCGAATCATTTTGACCTGCCCAATGGTGTGCTGGCAGACAACCTCGGCGAGGAGCCCCTTCCTTCCTTGCGCCGGGGCCGGAAAAGACACTGTAAGACCAAGCACTTGGAACAGAATGGCTCCCTGAAGAAACTGCGGCCAAGCGGCGGGGAGGCGGGCCCAGCCCTGCGGGAGATGGAGCAGAAGCTGCGGCAGGAGGAGGAGGACCGGCGTCTGGCCCTGCAACTGCAACGCATATTCGACAGCGAGAGGCGGACTGTGAGCCGGCGGAAAGGGAGCGTGGATCAGTATCTCCTGAGGTCCAGCCACGTGGCCGGGGCCAAGTAGTGCCCCAGGAACATGTGACCTGTTTTCACGAGGTCTCTGGACCTAATCATCTATCCTGAAGAGCTGAGTGTTCTCACTTTGGGTTTCTTTTCACGGCAAAACGCTGTCTGCTACGGTTTGGAGAGGTCCCAGGACCTTTGTGGTCTCTGTCCACGGATGCTGTGTCTCTGCCTCTTGGTGACGGAGGCCAGAAGCACGCCTCACCCCTAAGAGACCCCCAGCCCTGAGGGCTTCTGGGCCAGATCTGGCTGCACCCACTTGGAACGAGATGCAGGAGCACAGGGGCCAGAGTTAGAGATGGTAGTGGAGGCAGGGGATACCTTCTGAAACGGACAGATCTCCTGACTTCTTTCAACAGGGTGTTATTTTAAATCAGCCTTGCAGATAAAAAGGAGTTCCCTCCCACTTAGAGAAGTGGAGCGGTGTCGCTCTCTGGCAGATCCCAAAAGATCATGTTCCCCCTTTTCCTTACCGTGCTGCAAGTAAATACATCTAATGAAATCAGTTGAGTTTACCCTACTACAAAAGTTTACCTTCCCCGTGTAAAAACTAACATTGGATTAATGCTCTGTAGTCGACAGACCACATTCACGGTCATCGTTCAGTCTGGTCTTCCCAGGAGCCTCACCTGTAAGTGGGATCAGTGCCATTTTCGAGGCTGTAACTGCAGGGCGGACGTTCAGGTCCTGTCCTTCACTAAGTGGCATAGCCCAGCTGACTGCTGGGGCTCCTGACAACAGATCGCAGAGATTTTTCACACTAACACGTTCAGTAGGTTGCCATAAGGGACAGCAACCCAGGGGCCTGCCAGGGGAGCCTAGGGAAAGCTGACCGAGCATTTGAGTACTGATTGTGTAAGATCCAAGGCAGAGAATTGAGATCGATGAGAACCATAAAGTACTGTGCAGATATCCACCCTTCTCTGCCTGCCGGGCCCCCCACTTTACAGCTTTCTGTTTTCTGGGTGGGGGTGGGGGGGTGGAGTGGAGGGGATTCCACCTTGTGAGACAAACTACAGTTGAACTTCGTTATTACTCTCCACATGTCCAAGGGTTATCTGCAATGTTGATCTAAAATCCCCCCACATTTGCCCAGAAGTCAGGCAAGAGTGATGCTGAAACTCCATACTGTGGAAACAAGGTATCTGGCTGGATGCAGCTAGTAAATTCAGTCCCATGGACCTTTGGGGTTTACTTTCCTTAGGAGCTGACACCATGTGTCTTTTGCATCCCTGGTGGTGCTTGGTGCTTCTGCCCGTCTGGGCTCATTGAGAATAGGGATTAAGAGATGATTTTAGGGAATCTCAGATGGGCTGGCATTCCCTGTGCATGTACGAGCTGTTCCTATAAAGTCATGTGACTGGCAATTTAATGAAGGTTTTAGAGCTTCTGTATCCCAGTGTGCGTTGTCCCCCTTGAGTGGCTCCAGCAGGATACTGCACAGATTTTCCAATGATGTTGCCATTGGCAAAAACATTTCTGGAACTGTCCTCAGCATCTAGAAACATCTAGAAATACAGACTCCAAAGATGTTAGAATTGGAAGGGACCTTAATGGTCACCTTTTCCACCCTCCTCCTCTTACTAAGGCAGAAACTGAGATCCAGAATGGTGACTCCCCCGGTGACTAGGGATTTCCTGTATCACCTTCATTTGATTCCTCTCAGGAGATTTTTGCCCCCTCTTCTCAGGGCAGCTATGTGGTAACAGGAGGGAGAATTTTAAGTCTGAAACTAGTCAGAAGCTGTTTGAAGCCTCTAGAAGAGAAGGTTGGTCAGGAGTGTTCGGAGTTACAGACGAGGTCTAGCCGGCAGCAGTTGGAGCCATTTCCTCCTGCAGCTCATGCATAGTTTCCAGAGAGAAGTTCCAGAGATGATGTGAGCGTTTTGGTCATCATTGAGATTCGTGGAACCTCCTCGGTGACTACTTAGGTGGGAGTGTCCCTCACTTGAATGTATGTGTTCTGTGTGTCTGTGTGTGTGTGCACATGTGCAGATGTGTGTTTAAAAAATATGCGTCCATCTCCTTCCTCTGTATGTGCAGCACTTTGGTTCCAGGCCCTGCCAGCAACACAGGCCTCCACAGGCTGCTGGACGGTCGGTCCCCAGGATAGCAGAGCCGGTGCTGGTCTGCGGGGGAAGGGGGAGGTGACTCACTAAAGGCCCTTAGAGAAAAAGGCTCAGTTCCTGCCATTTCCTAGAACTGCTCATTGGCCTGAGCGAACATCCCCCGGGGGGGCTCTTCCACTCGGTGGTAGCAAAGACACTTCTTTTTCCACTTACCACCTTTTTTCTATGTCTCCAGTCATTTGAAAAACATGTTTCAGTGGGAACTGATTTTGGTTCTGGAAAAAAAGATAAATATTTTTAATAGAAAAAGATATATATATTTTAAATATTTCCCCAAAGTCATACTTTTGTTTTAAGAAGTCACATAGCAGTAGCAAGGAATTTTAGGTTCAGGTGCTGAGTGCAAAGCTCCCTCTTGTGAAGTGAGTATTCCAAATGTAGATGCAGCTTCCTGACTTTCCCCCTCGCACCTCCTGTTGTGTCCAGAGGGGGCCTGACAGTTGTCCAGACTTCCGGCTGAGCTGGAGTCCTTGCTGTGGAGGGAAAGCAGTTTAGGTTAAGGAGTGACAGGGCTTAACCTCTCATCTGCTTGGCTTTGGAGGAGGAAAAAACCACTAAGGTATTACCTGTATTTTAAGATGCTTCCCCTACTTAACTAAAACCTGAACACTTTCTCCTTATGAAAAATGTCTGTGTCCTGTTGCTTGCTTGTTTGCTTGTTGACATGAATTATTTGGAGAAAGAGAAAGACAAGAAGGGAAAACAGTGATGAGAAGGGTTGGTGAGGGAGAACGAGAAAGACACTATTTCACAAAACAAACATGTCTCACGAATCATTGGAATCGGCTTCATCATACAGATCTCCCACGTCCTACGAGCTCTGCGCCTTGTGTATAGGCATTCTCTGTTGTTTGGTTTGGTTTGGTTTTTATTAAAGGGGAAGTTAGGAGAGAGGTTGGAGGATGAAGGTCATTCTGATGGGAAATCCAAGAAATGCGGTGCCCTGAGAAGGGAGCTCTCAGCCCTTTTCCATAGAGTGGGAAGACCGTGGGCAGCATATTCGTGACGTGTTGATTGTATCTACTGGAAGGAGTCATCTGGGCCTGTTGGATCCGTGTCAAACAGAGGATTAAGCATCCAGCCCTTGGACCCTTTCATATAATTGCCTCTTTTTAAAAGGTTAATTCGTCTTGGCTGAAGCTTCCCAGGAAAACCTTTTGTAAGTGGCTTCATTTCTTATTTTTCTAATTTAAGTTTTAGATTTTTGTTTGGAGGAAGAACTGGTGATGAATGCCTTCTGATTTTGTTTTTTAGGGTTTTGTTTTTGTTTTTGCTCATATTCCCTAAAAGAAAAATGCCCTTAAGAGATTAAAGCTGCTTAATTAATTGCTGTCCGAGTATAAAGTGACAAACTATGATGGGAAGCTGCCACTACGCTTGACTGGTGAAGCTGATGACCAAAGGCTGTGCTGTTCGCCCTTTCTATTCCGTTTGACAGACGTTCCTGAGTTTCGAACTTGTGCCAACCCTATACTGGGTCGTGGAGATACAGGATGGAAAGGACAGTCCCTGCTCTTGAGCTCAGTCTCTAATGGAATGTATTTGAGTGTCTAGGTGGCTGGAGTTCATGGTCATATGAAAGAGCACTTCTTCATAGTGACCATCTTGGATGGCCCCGTTTAAGATACTGTCCAGCATCCAGCAGGCTGCCTTGAACATTTTAGACCTGCCCCCCAGCCCCTATCAATATTTCTGAATTTAATTGCAACACTGCTTTCCATTTCCTAAGTAATTTTACCAGAGGAGAATGAATTTTCTTCTCCAGTGACACAGGACAGTAATCTCTCCAGGAGCTGCTTTTGCACAAGTGCCAGGAAGTGAGGCAGGGCAGGGATCACTGACAGGGTCAGAGGAGGCCCACATCCCAACTCACCGACCTGCTCACCTCTTTCCCAACCAGACCTCTCACCACAGCTGGCAGCAACTTTGGATTCCTTTTCCTTTTTCCTGCCTGGCTTTTCATTGAGATGGAAAACCAGTGGGGGAGGAAGGAAAGAAAAATTGAAAGCTGGATTATAATCCTAAAATGCTATGGCTGGAAAGGGCATGGAAGTCATTCAGATCAAACTTGCCCACCTGCTGCCCCTTTTCCCTAAGAAATAAGGAACATGAGGTCCACTGTGCTATTTTATATTTTAGTTTTCTAGTATCTAAGTAAATAGTCTGTTTAAATTACACACACACACACACACACACACACACACACAATTTGCTAATGAGAAGGACACCCAAATGATAATAGGCTTTTTAATAGCTTTTGCTTCTAAAATTTTTCAGTTAGAATTATAGTATACCTGTATCGCCTGAACACACACCCAGATAGAGAAAACCCCACGAGGTGACTAATATGAATATGGAATCTTGGGAAGTTATATATTTTGATTGGACTAGTCATCATTTTAACCAAGGGTTAAGACCCAGCCAGCCCTTCATTTTTCTTTGAAAAATCAAGAATTCCTTAGGGACTTAACCTTCCTCAACCAGCCTTTTCCCTGTCAACCCATAGAGTGGTCTTTTGGCCTGGTTTTTAGAAGTAAGCATAGTTGCTTATAAATTCTTGTGAATCAGTGACAAAGCAGGTATGGGGGCGGGGGTCAAGATTCTAGGGAAAGCTGCTGCTGAATAGCTTTTCCTCCAAAGATACAGAAAGTACATCTGTACACATGATTGTTATCCACTGTAATTTTCAGAAAAAGATTGTTCTACAGAGAAAAGAGACATAAGCAGAGGTCATGATCAGCTTAGAGATTGGTTAAATTGAAAAAAAAAAAAAAAAAAGTGCCAAGACTGAATGTGCACATTGTTCTATGTATTATCAGTATTTTTATTCTTCCTAAGAAAAATATTTACACACTTTGATTTGTGAGTAAATGCTTCCTTAATTCTTGTTAATAAGAGTCGCAGGCTTCCTCTCTACCCTTTCTGGGGTCTTCTATCAACTAGTTGGACAAAACCGAGCGAAGGCCAGGCTTATTCATTTTTTTTCTCATTTAATAAGTGGTAAAAACAGGCAGTGCACTCCTCAAAGATGAAGCTGTTAGAGCTCAAGAGAAGCTTTTGGGCCCTGGGTCTGGAGGGCCGCAGTCAGAGTCTCCCTGGGTGGCCCTGTCCACCCTCCAGCTATGCCACCAGTGGGAGCAGGGCCCCTCTGTCAGTACGTCTAGTCCTTCGCCTTAAATTCCTAAGGAGAGAATGGAGAACTACCCAGGGGAAAAAATTATCTTCAATGCCACCTAATGGTTTTGTTTTTGTTGTTTCTCCCCATGTGCTGTTTTACTCTCAGTCTGTACACACACAGTTGTAGGGCCTTTCTTCTTCCCACCTAGGAACAGAAAATGGGATGTATAGTGGTTTCCAACCTGCTGTCTACATTAGAATTGGACACGGGGCCTGGACCCTTGTGGACTTATCACAAATAGCATCTTGACAAAGAAAGACCCAGAACAGGGCAGGCCCTGTCAGGGATGCTTCTGCCAACAAAGAAATGGCACAGAATCAAATAGGATGATGTGGTTATTTAAACAGTACCGAAGTGCATACTTCAGTGTATGTTTGCCTGCTCAAGGAGAAGCCCACGTTGAGAACACAGTAAAGGAAACTCCTGAAAGCGAATATTCTGTTTCTAGTCAAAAGTCTTAACCTCTATAGAGTGCAATCGCAGGCAAATCTGGGCTAAGCTTAGACTAGGTGTTTGATTTTTGGAGCTGTCTTTGCTCTGGGAGATGCCCCACTTTGGAATGGCTTGCTGTGGCATTCAGAAAGATGGGAGAAATTAGGAGGCGAGATGGGGTTTCCATGGTGTGCTGTGTGTCTGAGGTCTAAGTTAAGAATGGTCTATTCAACCATTCTTACTCCAGATGTACAGGGCGAGACTGTCCTTGCATATTGGGGCTATTCTCAGAACGTCTGATTTTAAAAATACCGGCTTTGGAAGCAATGCTCAGGAATTCATCAGAATCCCCTTGGTGTCCATTTCTCATCAAACAGAACAAATGTATTGCTGTCCCATCTAAACGTGTAAAACCAATTTGAAGGACTAATGTAGGACATGCTGTATGTGGTGAAGTAGCACTTAAGGGACTTTTGAAATCTGGCCCAAGACTCTTCCAAAAGACAGTTTTTAAAATGACTTGCAAGAACTAAGGCAGCTGCTTGGAGGTATATGAACAGAATAGGATTGTCCCTTGGCCTCTAAAGTAACAGAAAGCGTTCTACACAGCTCACTCATGGATTCCCTGCTAGCC